CACGTATGATATGCACCCTCTACCAGGGCCACAGATTGATTTTTCACAAGATTTTCATAGATTCGTCTTTATATAAATAGACGGTCATTTTACTCTCTCTGGCTTTTGGTAATTTTCCCTGTACATAATATATCTGCCACCCTGGTAGAGTGTATCATATATGTAGATACAAACGAATCCTGAGCTTGTCTTGTCACGTGGGAATTTGCACACGCTTGTTGGGTTTTATCCTTGTCTGTCATTGTAATTGATAAATACAGAAATCCTTCTAGTGATTGATAAACTGAACCAAATTAACCACGCGCAGAAACACCTGAAAAAGCTTCAAGGGCCCATTTTCTATAAAATTACTTGCTAAAGGATATGACACTCACCTCTCTCCTGGCAAGGTTACTCACATCTCAGATATCAACACGAACGGGAAACCAGCAACACTATGAACTTTGAACCGGATTCATATTTTTTACACAGCCTACGAAAACTGAAGTAATATGCTGGTTCTTCAAATAAAAAATTCGGGGATTTCGTGAAAACATAGATAGGTCTTTAATTTTTGATATGATAGGTAACACCACAATATCGCACACTGTTATTGTGAATGGCAAAATTATAATACGGGTCAAGGACAGAATATAAAAAAAAATATTTTACAGAAATGCTACAGATGCGCAAGGAGCTCAACCAAGTGTGATGATGGTAAAAAATCTCACCTAACACAACGGTGGCTGGACTCCTGCGTTCGGCTGCCTCCAGGTTGAGGAATCTAAGGCTGTATTCCCAGAGTTTTTAGATCCATCTATCCCCGCGGATGTCTCACTAGATTACTGTCAGATGATCCGACTTAAATATCCGTCCCGCCTACTACAAGCTGTAAGGGGGTAATTAACTTTCGTGTCCGCTCGGCTGACAGCTATTTATCGTGAACCCCCAGGGAGTAAGGTCGATCTAAAGTAGATCGACCTAATCTCTGGAAATGGGGTCTAAAGGTGGTGTACTTCAACTTCCAAAACGACTGTTCAGCTCATGCCAAATGTTAAAAAGAGCTCAAGAACTCGAAACAGGTAGTTATTTTCAGGCAATTCTTAAACAGGCATCAAGTCGACATCTGTCTCAAAACAAAAGGGATAATGATGCAATTTCCAGGACAGGACTTATCCTGTATTCTGCTTTAGGATCGATGAAAAATTTCAACGGGTCATCAAAATAGGGGGAGTGGGGAGGTAAGTTGACCTTTACAATAGTGTTAATTTCTATTTTTTTTAAAAAAGGGATTTGCTATATGCAGAACTTTTCATCATGTCTAATTTTCTTTTCAAAGAATAAATAAATTTAAAGACTATTTAGGTTATACAGTCATTTCAATACCATTAGACTATAGAAATTTTCAGGGCAGCACCGTGCAAACAATACATTCCACAAAGACAGCAGAATCAACTAACATTTCTTTGAATCCATTTTTTATTGTTATTATCATTATTAAATTTGTGTATATATTTTTTTTTCGTCATCCTGTACAAGTAAAAGACATTCAATAATTTATGACTGGGGTCCTTCAAACATGGTCTATTCACCATTCCAAGAGCTTGTCAAAGAAAAAAAGAAATAAAGATTTCGATCTCACCCTTTGTAAGTGCATATAAAAATTCAGTTTCATCTTGTTCAGATAACAGGTTTACACATGGCATAATATGTATACTAGCACAGAAAAGGGAAATGGCAAATTTTACAATGGATGCAGCAATGCATTCTTAGAATTCACTTTTTTTTTTGTTCTTTTTACATTCATACACACACATATAAATATTATATATGTAATGCCTAGTATCGAAAGTGCTTTTAGACAAAAATAAGTCCATTTCCTCAATAGAATTTGAAAAGTGGCCAAACAGGAATAACTGCCAAGCAGCCCTGTCCTTTTAATTTTGTTTACTCAAAGTTGTTATTTTATCTTTCCTGGGACAGTTTCTTCCTGAAAAAGTAAAAAAAAATTGACATAAGTTCAATGAATAGACTACTTGCAAGCAGTTTTATAATAGCTTTTTAATGTATGGATCTCTCCATCAAAATATTCCACTCCTTAAAGTTTACAAGTGGCACTCCACACAATGAAGCTGTTACTACAGCTAACAAATGCAAAGCCACAAATAGTCTAAAACCACACAAAATTTTAGAAATACTTCCATTATGTTTGTTTTCTGAATTGGAATACCATTTTGAAAAATCCCTGAGGGAAAGATATTTTCTAAAGTTTTCCAGATTCAAAATCTTAATCTTTACATGCGGAGTAAATCCAAGATGGACAGAATCTAGTTTGAAAGTTTAATACTAATGAAAGCTTGATGCTAAAAAAATATTCAAATGCTCCACACTTTTAAAACCCCACATTTTCTTCTCCCTGACCCATCACCCTCACAACCAGGCCCTGGTTTCACAAAAAAAAAAAAAAAAAAAAAAAAAAACTCGAGTCTGGTTCCCTCTGGCTAAGAACTTAATTACCAAAGTTATGTGGTCACATGGGCATATCTTACCCTATCAGGAGCAGTGTAACAGCACTCTCATGGAAATCCTAGTCAACTAAGCCAGGGGACCGACTTGGTTTTTTTTTTTTTCTTTGAAACGGGGACCAGGCTACAGGAGTTACTTCAAATTTTTTGTTTTCTTTTTCGGATTTTTCATTGTTGATTAAAGACAACAAACCCGTTTTATACAAAACCAACTTTCCTAAACATCTGAATAAGTATCTGTGATGTTAGTATCACTCATGATGCATTTCACATATAAAAAATTATTAATTTTGTTGGAACTAATGTAGTAATCGATATATTTTTTAAAACCTTGTACGTACCATTTCAAAGCTTCTCCTCAGACAAACCATCTTTAAAGAAGTAAAATACGGGTACCTCTTCACCATCTTTGTCAATGTATTCCTTTAAAACTACCATTCCATCTGGATCCATACTATTGCCTGAGAAAAAAAAAGAAAAACATCGATTTATGAATAATTCAAATTAATTCATATGAGCATGATGATATCCTAAGAGAGCACAAAATAAGGAAAATACACAAGTGAATACAAACAAGGCAGCAACTCTGCCCAATGTACCTATGAAAAGCGGAAAATACTGATGTACAAAATATTTTGTCAATTTTAATAGTACATAATGCTAAACAACAAAATCCACACCAAACAACAAGGAACACAGACATTAAGGGGCCCGCACACGGTGAGCATTTGGCGCGCGCCACTTGCGCTGCGCCGTTTTCTCATCGTGTGCGGGGGTATTTTGGTGAGATTTTTGCCTCGCGCGGCTGAGCAAAATTTCTCACGTGTTTGAGTTTTTGGGTCTCTTGAGACAAATGTCTCATCGTGTGCGGGGTGCAAGCGCCGATTGCTCACGCCATGCTAACAATGCGCATGTGCCAGTAGCCGGAAACAAACAAAAATGGCAGCCCCCAGCGAAGTCAACAAAAATGTACACAGTTATAGTTAGTCTGATTGATTAACGTGGTCACCATTATCCATTACTATCAGAAAAAACAACAATATGTAATGTTTCCTTAAACACATGATCCCACAGTTCACAGTGCATCCGCTAGGGGCAGGCCGGGAGGCATCTCTGCTGAGCAAAGAGCGCATCGTTTGCGGGGAGCTGAGGAGCGCGAGCATCTGGTGCAGCGCAAGTGGCGCGCGCCGAATGCTCACCGTGTGCGGGCCCCTTTAAGAATATGTAACTGTCATAGGATTTCAGGCCCATGAGAATTCAAATTTACACGCTCAATGTCTCAGTAAATTAAAAAAGAACATTTTATATAAAAAAAAATCACGTAACCCCAAAAATAAGAAACTAATCAGGCTGGCTTGCCAGCTCAAGATGCATTACAGCCCTAAAATCCCACTTGACAGTTTCAGCAAATTACGTAAGCTTCCCTTTATATTGCTTATGGTGGCAGTGCACAAAACAGGATTTTGGTCAGTTTTGATGCCATATTATCATATAATGCTTAACAGCAAAATCAACACTAAATTTTAATCATGCACAACAGGTAACACATATTTAGACTGCAGGATCAGAGCAGTGATACCACCTCAAGACATTGCACCACCATCAAGATTAAGTTCATTCCAGTAAAATCGTAGGTATGGACGTAATCGTGTCTGTTCATGCCCACTTGTTTGCCTCTTTTCAAATTGCTACCTTCCTTTTTGAGAAGGGCCATAAGCGCGAAGAAGAATGTTTGCTGTTGCATCCTTAGCGGCTGACAAAACACGAGGAGGAAATGTCAGCTATTAGAGAATGCTTTGTACTCAACCTGTCAGATAGCTTACTCTACCAGCTACCGTCACAAGGCCTTGCTTAAAGGCAAGCAAACAAGGCAGTTGTCATACGTATTGCGAAGTGTGCCGCGTGGACATTTGTCAAAACCCTTCCTTCCTTCCAAACCTGCAAAATGGTATTCTTCAAATTGCCAACTTCAAGGCAAGCCTCGCTTTCAAAACATAACATCAAGTAGGCTCGAACACCAAAGTGAGGCTAAGACAGGCAACATAAATGTACCTGTGTAAAACTCTAGATCTTTGAATCTTTTCAAAAAACCGGCAACCTGTGCACTGGCCTCCTGTTTGAACGGTGCCACTCTATCTGGATTTGTTGTCTTTAAGTGCTCTTCAATCCTGAGAACAAAAAAAAATCATTTCAAATTAAATACAATCTTAGAAGAAACTGCTTCACTTATTAATAAGGGCACAAAACAAAAAAGCTGAACACCAGGTGTGGTGTATCCCCCCCCCCCCTCAACCCCCATCATGCACCAATATAACTTGCATCACATCTGGGTCTATTTAGTTCTCGACTTCTGCCATAGCTGAAGTGTTAGTGAGGTGTATGCGTCTTCCACATGTGCTTTGCACTCATGCATATGACATGCCACTTTCTGATGCAAGTTGTACCTGTTACTTGGGAACATATGTAAGTCAATTTTCAACCCGGACAAGGATTTTCAACGAACCGTCCAGCCATCCTTTGGGCTGACGCATCATCAGACAGCTTACCATGTTTTTTTTTTTTTTTTTTTTTTTTGAAAAATGATAGCTTGGCTTCATTATATAAATTATTTATTATTGGGTCACCATGGCCCATATATAGATATAGATATCTTCTGCCATCCCAGGAGTCTCTACTAGTATAGCCTGTTTCAGGGCCATTCCGTGGTATTTGTGTCCTGGGCATAAAATTTTCAAATGTACAAAAATCAATCAAAAGTTGCATTTTCTGAAAGAAGAGACTTCAGGGGATAAGAATTTGTAAAAGATTTACCTGTATTTTTTGAATTCATGATTTTATAGCGCGTTAAACTTGAACAAGGCAGCAAAGCTGTCAAATGTACAGACAAAAAGCAGGAAATAACTATGCACAAAATAGGCTACTGTCAATTCTGATGCAAAAGTACATTATGTTAAACTGCAAATTCAACATCAAATTTTAATTATGCTCAACAGGTAATATCAATGTAAGTAAAATGTGTAACAAGCATAAGGCTTCAGGCCCATGGCAGTTCAAGTTCACACTTTGAAAATGTATAACTTCCAGAAAAAGAAGCCAATTGGACTGCTTTTCCAACTCAGGCTGCATTTTAGGCCTGTATTTCTTTTTTGAACGTTTGGCAATCATCAGTAACATGGTTTTCCCATAATGGTCATCATGGCAGCAGCACCCAAAATTGTGTTTTCTTCTATTCTGATGCAATATTACATAATGGTTAACAGCATAATGACCGTCAATNGATATAACTGTTTCTGTGTTAGATATATATTTATTCAGTATCCAACATCTCTAATCATGGGGTCCTTTAAGCTCATTCCTGAACACAAGTCTACTCTGACTTCCCCACATAAATAGAAAATATACTTAGATAGATATTAGCTCTTCACACAAAAGCTGTATGTATTAAATTTTCATTTGACAATGTTGACAACCTTAAACATACAAAAATCCCTACACATTTTTTTTATCACATAAAAAGAACAGGTTGATAAAAAATGGGTCAAAAATACATGTAACTTACTCGCACAGGCACATGCTATCTACTTCTTCCTTCTTGAAATGGTTCCTTAATCTGACATAATCAAAGTAGCTTGGTAGGAAGATTAAGGTTTGGGACATCACTGGGTCTTGGTGATGGGGCAGGACCTGCATGAAAGATGCATACACTTTGCCTTTAGTTTGGGTCATTGAGGATGACCTTGATCACAACCTTTAGTAGAAAATTCCATGCAATTTGAGAAATGAAAAATATTGACCAAGTAGATTCACAAATCTGCTAGATTCCTGCAACAAATGTACAGCATTTAGTTCTGGGATGACAATCAGTACATTGCGGTGAAAAAGAGTTGCTTTAATAATATTATTGAGCATACCTTTTTGATGAAAAAATTGAACCTTGCATCTGCTAATTGACTATGACTATCACAATCTATCCTGTGAAATACCTGAAATCAGTTTGAAAATGAAAACACAAATTACAACAAACCTGGTTTCCCAGCCTAATCTGCATTTATCCTAAACAAAACCACCCATTAAATTTAATATGGTTTGGCATTTGGGTGCTAACAATCCAAAACCCATGCAAAATACCAATATATATGCAATATCTTTTGCAGAATTAATCCAATTATTCTTACTTTCTTACATGGTCTACTATTACTTTTTTTAGCAAAACCACCAAGTAAACTGGTAGTCATACAAAAAGTCAGCTTGGCTGTTATAGCAGGAATAAATGTGTTACGGAGAGATAATGATTATGCTGGCACAAAAAAAAAAAAAAAATGAACACAGATACTTGCAGTGTCTATATATAAGCATAAATATATAAGCACAATAGTTAACAACAATCTAAATATAATCTAATAAACATAGGCCCCTGTACATTTAAAAGCGCTGAATGATTATATTATTTTGCAACAAAAGCTATCTCATTTGCAAGTAAGTGAACATTTAAAAGTAGTATAATCAAGTAAATGTTTAAAGCCCATGGAAATACAAACTAGATTTTTTATTGTAATGCACATCTTGTGCACATTATAATAACAAAAATTGGGTAAACTGACAAAATGATTAATATTCCAAAGCAATTTTTCAGATACGTGTATCAAAAACAACATTGCACTGTTGATTCTATCAATCACCAAAACAATCAATATTCCTTGTTGCCTTCTTTCTTGTTTTGAATGAGACTATGAAAGTTTGTGGTACACTGAGATGGAGGAGACATAAATACAGTATTTTTATATCTGAATCCCTTATAGCTTAACCACACATAGGCACCAATGATAAGAAAAAAATTACTATACATAAAAATACAGTTCAATCTACAACAATGGCAACTGACTTAATATAATTTTACAAAACTTCATAAAAACTTCATTACCTGTGGTAACTGGGTTATGATTTGGCATATCACTCCCCGTCCAATGCTTGGGCTGACCATTAACTGACCGGCATAGTCTGAAGGTCAAAGTTAAAGAAACTCTACTGCGATGAGGACAAAGCCAAAAGCACCCCTATTATCTAAAAATTTTAATTATAGGCCAAGTAGCAGGTAAAATTTAGATGTTTAGGCGATAAAAGTCTATTAAATCTTTCTGACAAATGACTATTTGTACATCATATTCACATTCGGCTAATGGAGGATATGACCATTTTTACATATATGAAAAACAAATATGTTACACAATTTAGGACGTTATTCAAGAAGAACTAATTAAGGTTGACTGTAGAAACTGAAATAAAAATATGCTGAAAGAATGATTGAACGAGGAAGCAAGGCGTTAAAAAGGGCTGACACATAAATGACAAAACTAATAGAAGCAATTACATTAAAAAAGTCTAACATGACAAATAATTTATGATGAAAATGCACAATATTTTCTGACAATTTTGATACAATAATACATAATGCTAAACAGCATAATCGCCACTAATTTCAATAACTTATAACTGTTTCTGTGGACATTGAGAGAACAGACTTCAGACTCAGGGGAATTCACAGCAACACCTTGAAAATGCTAACTGGTGGGAAATTAACATCTTCTAAAAAAAGTTACAAATTAAAAAAAATTCCAAGCAGACTGCTTTTTGCACTTGAGCTGCATTTAAATCCACCGAATTAATCTCGTTACTTTGTGAACACAAAGTAAAATAGTTTTTCTTTAATGGCGTTAATGAGGAAATTGCGCAGCACATGGTGTCCGCCCATAAAAACCATGCTGCTGTTTTAAGATATGCGTCATCTCTCTCATACACACAAAACCCACACAAAGGATACTGTGACAGTACTTGTTGACTAATGAATTAAGTTCCGGAGTTGAAGTGGAGCTGAACACAAGGGTCTGGCGATAAAACCTTGACCTAAAACATAAAACAAAGCTATTAACAAAAGTTGGTATAATATGATATGGTATAATTTATATAGCACCTATAAGATGTAAGCTGTATGTACGTACGTAACTAAATAAAACAACAGATATTTCGAAGATTTCATATATCTTTTTCAGGGTGGATGGTCAATATTACTGGTCAAATGGTAACCAGTGTGACAAGCTTGAATAGGTCAAATACATCTCATAGATGCTATGAATCAGGAATCTACAAATAGGGGTGAATAATACAGTTATCAGAATGCAAACTTGAGATTCAGTACCTATTGAGATTCAGTATCTATTCAGTACATGTACAAGCAAATTTATTATTGACAAAGTATGAAAATGCATTTGCACAGCTTTCACAAAATTTTAAAAACAAAAAGAAAATTGATCACAGTCTCAGATGAAGACAACACACACACACCAAATATGTAATATCTAAGTTTAATATCAAACTACCCACCATCCATTTAGTGTCCACATACGGACTCTAGAAAAGTCCACACCATGTGGATCCTGAGGTTGTAGATGGATATGGGACATAATATGCTGAAAAAAAAAGAAGTTACCAATATATCATTTTGTTTTCAATTCCCATGGGCCTTTTAAAAGTATTAAAAATGGATTGTTGAGTCCTACAGAATTTATAAGGATAAGCATGTTAGACAGTTTGGAAAATATTTTTTTAGATGTACATCACAATGACTTAAAATTGAAAAGACGCACTACTGTTACAGTACAGTTCTATACTGATATGACCATGTCACCTACCAATACATGATCCCAATTTTGCATGAGAAATACATCAGACTGGTCCATAATCAGGACTTCTATGGATGATAAGAAATCGTAGTCCCTGTCACTGTCACTAAAATAAAAGACATTAAAAAACTATTCAAATCTATTCAAACTATTCAACTATTTAAAAAACTATTCAAATCAATGTCATTTTATCATTCACCATATTAATTTAAAACTCATTTAAAGTTCAGTTTGCTATCTTTTTTGCTATCAGTTCAAATCAAATGATGTCCTAAGGGCAGTTGTACCTAGAACAAGTCATTTAGTGAAACCAAAACAAAATTATTGATTATTTGATCTTTGTACTAATGTGGCACACTTAATTTGAAATTGCACATCTTCTTTATATAATATTCTACATTCTTGCCAACAAACCTTACCCCTCTGATCCTATGAGTGTCCTCAGACCCAGTGGAGATGCAATGATGATATCA